CGGCGAATACATCCTACACCATTCGAATTTCACCAACGATGACTTGTGTCTAATGTCTTCTCACACAAACATCAAGATCTACAGGCGAAATCCAACAAGTTGACAGAAGAGTTAGGGCAGTGGAGATGAGACCTCCTTCAGGTGAATGTAGAGAAGACAGAGGTGATGAAGATACACAAACAACACCACCAACACCAACACCATCACCATCACCAACACCACCACCACTGCCAACAACAACAGTAAAAAAGCAAGCTCCAATCACTATCACCATCAATGGCAGAAACTTAAAGCAACTAGCCTCGCCCACCCATCTAGGCATGGCAGCATCCTTCCAACTACAGGCAGCACACGCACACACGAGGACGTCAAAGCCAACCAGCATCGGAAACACTGTAACACAGGCCTCCCTTCATTAATCTGAAACCAGTGTGCAGATCTTCACCACTCAGCATAGAACGTGAACAACATTGGGATTTTGAACAGCAATCTGAGTCAAGTGATTCAGTGCTTCTGTGTGATGGTTGAGAGACTTGGCGTGTCACGAAAGGTATTTCCAACAAACTACACACATTCATCAACAACTGCCGCCTACGCTGGCTGACACTGACTGACACTGAAGATGAGATGAGATGTCGAGAATAATGAGAAGGAGCAAGAAGGAACTGTTGCTGGCTGGCTGTCTGGCTGGCTGGCTGGCTGGCTAGCTGGCTGTCTGGCTGGCTGTCTGGCTGTCTGGCTGTCTGGCTGTCTGGCTGGCTGGCAACTCAATAACCGAGAAGCTATCGCTCAAGCAATATGTATTGTAAGGTAGTGGAGATGGGTTGGGCATGACCTGAGAAGACCATTCTGTGACAATACTCATTAGGACATGTTGTCGAGTGGAACCCATATGTGAAAGGACGAGTTGGGCGTCCGAGGCAAGGTTGAGATGGAGGAGATGGTCTGAGGAATAAATGACGCGTGATGTCCTCAGTGGGCCTTCTCAGTGCATGCCCAATCCATCTCCACTTCTTCCTGCATATTTGTTGCGTGATAGGTTCTTGGTTGGTTCGTTCCCAGAGTTCCTTGTTGCTTATTATTTCTGGCCATCTGATCCTCAGTAGCGAGCCAACGTAAGCAGTTGTTGATGAATGTCTGTAGTTTATTGGAAATGCCTTTCGTGACGCGCCAAGTCTCTGAGCCATACAAGAGCACTGACTTGACTGGATTGGTGTTGAAAATCCGTATCTTGTTCCGCATGCTGAGTGCAGAAGATCTCCACACTGGTTTCAGGCTAATGAACGCCTGTCTTGCTTTTCCGATTCTGACTTTCACGTCCTCGTCTGTGCCTGTGTCGCCTGTAGTTGAAACAGTGCTTCCTAGATGAGTGAAGGAGGTTGCTTCCTTTAAGTTTCTCCCGTTGATGGTCATTGGAGTTTGTTGTTGTTGTTGATGGTGGTGGTGCGGTATCTTCATCACTTCTGTCTTCTCTATATTCACCTGAAGTCTCGTCTCAGCTGCCTCTTCTATCAACTTGTTAGTTTTTGCCTGCAGATCTTCAAGTTTGTGTGACATTAGGCACAAGTCATCGGCGAAATCCAAGTCTTCTAAGTTCTTTTCCGTCGTCCAGTGTATCCCCCTCTTCTCGCTGCCTACTGTTTGCTGCATGATCCAGTCCACCACAATCAGGAATATCATGGGGGATAGTAGGCAACCTTGTTTCACTCCTACTCCTGTCTTCACTTCAAAAGCATCACTGAGCTTCCCATTGTGAATTACTTGGCATGTAGCATCTTCATATAGTTGTTGAATGATGTGGATAAAGGTTTGCGGTACTCCGTAGTATTGAAGCAGTTTCCAAATTACTTCTCGGTCGACGCTGTCAAAGGCCTTCTCAAAGTCGATGAAGTTGAGGTAGAGAGCTGATTGCCATTCTATGCTCTGTTCTATGATGATGCGAAGCGTTGCAATTTGGTCTGCACATGATTTGTACTTCCTGAAGCCTGCCTGTTCCGGTCGTAGTTTTGAATCCAGTGCATCCTTTAGCCTCTCCAGGATGATGCGGCTTAATATTTTGCTTGCTCTGGGTGGACAGGAGAGTGATTCCGCGCCAGTTCTTGCAAACACTCAGGTCTCCTTTCTTCGGCAGTTTGACAAGGTAACCCTTCTTCCAATCAATGGCCAGGTACCTTCTCTTCCCTCCACACCTTCTGCAATAGTGGTGTGAGCATGTCCGCTGTTGTCTCTGCATCTGTTCTCAGTGCTTCTGGCGGTATTCCATCTGGTCCTGCTGCTTTCCCGCATTTCAGTAGCTTTATGGCGTTCAGGACGTCCATTTTCGTTGGGGGATTAATGTTCACTTGTAGTTCAGCGGCTGCAGGTGGTATTTCTGGACGAAGTGCAGGTGGTGGTCCATTCAAGAGCTTCTTGAAGTGGTCGGCCCATCGTTTCCTCTGTTTCTCTTCTCTTGTAATTAAATTTCCTTCTTCATCTTTTATTGGTTTCATCTGTGTTGGTCTCTTCCTTGATAGCAACCTGGTTATTTGATACAATGTCGTCAGGTCTCTCTTACCTGCAGCCTGTTCTGCTTCACTTGCCAGTGTTTCGTAGAAGTGTCTTTTGTCTTTGCGTGCACTCTTCTTCACTTCTTTATCCAGTGTTTTGTACATTGTGCTCAGTTCCTCTTGTCGTTGAGCATCCTTGCACTGGTTTATCTTCTGCTTCACCATCCTCCTCTCCTCTATCAGCTTCCAGGTATCCGTCGAGATCCATTCCTTATCTTCTTTCTTCTTCCTTCCTAATACTGTTGTGCAGGTTTCTTTCCACATAGCTTTCAAAGACTTCCAGTGTTCTTTCACACAGGTTTCTTCAGGGATGTCCCTCGATATCTCCCATTTTGTCTTGATGGCTGCCGTGAAGATCTCCTTTGTAGTTTCATCTTTCAGTTTCCGAGTGTTGAACTTGAATTGAGGTCTATCACCAGCTTCCTTGAGGGCTTTCAACTTGATTTGGAAGGTTCCTTGCAGCAGATGGTGAGTGGTGTGAACCTACATCTGCTCCTCTTCTTGACCTTGTGTTAAGTAGACTGCGTCTCCATTTTCTTGAGATTGAGATAAAGTCGATTTGATTTTTAGTGTGTGCATCTGGTGAAATCCATGTCGCTTTGTGAATATCTTTGTGTCTGAACACACTGCCTCCAATTACTAAATCGTTGAATGTGCAGAATTCCGCAAACAATTCTCCATTCTCGTTCATTTCACCTACCGCTTCTCGGCCCATAGTTAGTTCTCTTCCTGTGTTGTCCCCTCCCAGTTTGGCATTCATGTCACACCACTCATTAGAATTTTGATATCGCCAACTGACGTCTTGTCCAGTGTTGATTGAAGTTGTCTGTGGAATTCCTCCTTTTTCTCTTGCTCTGCATTATTTGTAGGTGCATAGTGTAGCATTGTATGATTGTGACCTTCCTTCCTTTTGAGTTGAATCCATCTTGTTGTCATGATCCTGGAGGAGATTGGTTCCCACTGCATGAGAGCCTTCGATGCTCTTGAGGACATCATGATAGCCACTCCATAACTCAGTGTGCTCGTGGTTGTCGTCTGGGTGACCGTAGTAGGTTATTGATTCTCCAGTTGACAGTTTGGAGAGTCCACTCCCATTCCATCTGCTTTCGCAAATCCCAAGCACTTCGATGTGATACCTTCTCATCTCCTTTGCAATCTGGGCTGCCTTGCCAGCTAGGTTCAAACATCGTGCGGACATTCCATGTCCCCATGTTTACTTTCGCTTTCATCGAGCGAGAGAAGACACATCGGCCAATTGGCTTCCCGAAGGCTTTCACCAACTGGCGTCATTTCGCCTCTCCGATTCCAGCGGGGAATAAGTTTGTTTTCATTTTTTATATTTTGTTTGTGCTTTGAAGTTTGTTTAGCGGTTAGATTTGTTTTACGAGGTAGGGTTGCTAGCCCTATGCCCAACCTTCCCTGTTTACCCGGGCTTAGGACCGGCTAGTAACTAGTGAACTAGTTAACCAGGCGAGGTTAGTTGGATCGTTAGAGAGATTTATTACTAAATCCTTTTTGTCTGTCAAATCAACACCAAATGCAAGTAACAGATATAATTCTACACCTGTCCTAGATACATGAAAAATTATTTACCTGATATGAATATGGATAATAAATTGTTTCCGAAACGTTATCCAGCAAGTGGTTCTGTTTCACTGTGTGATATTTCTAATAAACAGACTAAAATGGAATTACAATCAATCACAATATCCAAGTTTAACTTCTACGTTAGCTGAATTTAAGTTGATCATTGTCTTAAATCATTCATGCATTCATTTTGAAGCCTCATGGTGTTCATTCTACGAAAACATTTTTTTTTGAGACAGTGTCAAGTTGTTCCGTGCTTCAAAGAATGTTAGTAAATTTAAACAGCCTAATGAGAAGACGAAGATTATGTGAAACATGTGATGTATTAGCGCTATACATTACGAACAATCTGATCACACATGGACTTGTCGAACTATTTATATGAAAATTTACGAAAAGGTCAGTGAAGTTAATAGGAAACAGGAATAGGAGGGGATGTAAAAAAAGGAAAACCTTACTCTTTGTATGAAAATTAAAATCAATACTACCAAGATAGGTTCAACGTGAGTACGAATTGTTTTTGTATACATAAAGGGGGTTTAAATTTACGGATGGCAAGAGCTTCAATAAATTTAAGTACTCGGCTCTGACCACTTTTATGTAGCACTTTAAAGGCTGTTTTCATGTCTATCCTATGGTTAGTTTTTAGTTTCAGATAATCTTCGTCTTCTCATTACGCTGTTTAAATTTATCAAAGGGATCAGTTGCTTTAAAATTTTAGTAAAGGTTTATATGCAAATAAAGTTTATAGAAGGAAGTATCAACTATTATCATGATTTTGTTTATTCTTTTAATGGGTGATTTAATCGATGTAAATCTTTGCAATAATTATCATTCTCATTAAAAAACTTTTAACTAATATTTCAGTTAAAATGTTGTGCTGTTGAAGATAATCAAGCAGATTTATATCTACGTTCCGTTTGGTATTCACGTCAGATACACCAGTCATCAATATTTGGAAGTAGTGCAATACCCTTGTTATCTGAAGAATATGATATTTTCACTACCAAAATACCAATTGTAGCAAATGTTCCAGTATCCTGTTGTATATATTCAGCGGAAACAATGGAGTTTATGAATCGTACTGCATGTCAAACTGGTTCTTTAAAGTCCAGTTTAAATCCCTATCTTAATCCTCATGTGAGTTGACTCTGAAAATGTTTGTTATTTTACTCTTATCATTAATAAGAAACAGGTATATCAATTTTTTGTACATTTTTCCGCCATTGATTCCATAAGAAAAACGGGTAGTATTGCTTATTTATTCAGAATCATGATTTGTTCGCAATGTCAGTCAGCAATCAACAGACATACTACTATTGACCAAAACTATCAAGCAATAAGAAACAACACGAGGGTCAAAGTTCACATCAGCAGGGCAACTAATCGAAATAAATAAGAAAAGAGTTGTATGACTTTAGCAAAAACAAGGTCATTAGGAGAAGCTCTTAAGCCAGTCATGGAGAAAATCCTATAGCTCACTTCTTTCTGAAGTTTATACTGCTGCTGATGTTATCTAGAATGGCAATGAAAGCTTTATGCATAAATTATAGAACTCAGAGAACACAATATTATCAAAAAACAATATCAGCTTTTTTATACAATCAAAATAGTCAATTTTGCACATAACTCCAATTGATGGTTGTAAGATGCCTTTCTAAGATCTTATAAAGTTATTTCAATCAAACGAATCAAAATGCTTTTAAAAGAAGGAAATATGATATTTGTTATCAACTTATCAGTTCCGTAGTAATGCAGCAGTCAGGAGTAGAGTTTTAGGTAGTAGAGGTAAATCAGTTGACGAGGTTATGAACCTTGATCAATTGAGATTGTTCGGACACGTACTACGTAAGCCTAGTCACCGATTGCCTCGTCACACAATGTTGGCTGAAGTAGGCTCAGACTGGAAAAAGGCCCGAGGTGGCCAGACTAAAAAAACATGGCACCAATGTATGAAGTCTCTGACTGTTGGTTTTTGAGCCACGTGGAGCGATACAGACTAGGTGGTTGGGGTCTGTCGGACAAGAGGAACCAGTGGTTGGAGACTCTAGGGGATATGGCTCAGAACCGATGTCAGTGGCGCAGATGTATACACACATTATCCTCATCTTAATGACGCTATACCGAATCTCACCATTTTGTCATTCCTCTTTTCTTTATTCTTGTACGCTACATTTCTTTTGACTGCATTCTCTTATCTTCATCCTTCACCTCACTACCTTTCTACTTAATGTGGTGATATGAGATGTGGCAACTCGGACTGCTAAGCAGTAATACCTGGTCCTATGTTGATATTGACTGATTGATTGATCAACTTATCAGTTGACGACAAAAGTCTGAATACAGTTTTACTTCCGTTTTCATAAGTAATTTCAGTCTGCGATTAATTTTTGAAAAACTATTGTTCACTGTTTTTCTCTGTGGCATTATTTATTCCTAAATGTTATTAGTATTGTCATTAATTGGTTGAAAGTAATTGGAAGGAATTTCCGGAACCTAAATTTCATACTTGTTGGCAGATATGAAGCATTCAAACCCGCATCATCAACCGCTACAGTTGGATACCCGACTATTGAGCTCTTTGAAAAACGAATAACCTCTTGTACGACTAGATTAAGTAGGTGGATTGGCCACTACATAGTTAACAATTTCATGTTGTCTAGTCTCGAATACTGAGTGGTTTTCGTCAATCAGTTCGTAATGTGATCATCAGGCTCACATGACTGGTTGTTGAGGTGTGTGACTAAGGGACTGGATGGTATGATTTAAATCTCTGTGAAGGCATTACTTCCGTCTAGTTTGCAGGTACACCTTGCTGACAAATACCAAGAAGCATGAAGTGTAGATTCAGGGATTCCTGTCAGTTACCTCCAATTACATAACATCAAAGTGTAGTACGACAGTCTTTTTTTGTTAACCTGTATGTGAAACAGTAGTTGTTCCAAATTAATCCCAGCGTGAACACAAATATGCGGGTGAGTGTCAAAACGATTTGATAAGTATTGTCTTAACTGAAATGTCTCAACATAACATACAGCAACAACAGGAATAACAGGGACAAGTGGGAGAGGATTTGTAAAGTTGTTATTATTTTTATCGGTTGACATCTAATATAAACAAAGTCAGATTCAATAGCGATGTAGTAATGGTACATAAGACATTTGTGCAGACGTCTGAATCCAGTTATATGGTGTAGACAATATGATTCTCATACCAAAATGCTAAAATATAAAACGATAAATTTCAGTATTTGAAAATAAACATAATTACTAATGGCATTGAATGCGTGTTTTTGGTTTGTACCCGAATTGCTATGATAGTGACTGTTTTGATTGATCATTGAAATATTAAACGTTTCTAGTTAGTAACTGATAAAACGAATATAATAGAATATTTAAAAATGAAAATTAACCAAGGAATCCTAGTGTCTGTATCAAAATAATGGGTGTCAAGGAATAAAAATTAATGAATGTATAAATGTATTAATAGCATGTAAGCAATAAAATGGGAGAAATTTCATCAAATGGAAGGAAAAAAAATTAAATCATGATTACTATCAAATAGGATTTTAATCGATGAACTCTTCCATTTGCTTTAGCGATTACTTCAGGCATTTAAGTGGGAGTTATGCTTGTTAAGGGTTGCTTTAGTGTAATGTCACTGTTAATTTTATGTGCAGCATTACCGATGAATGCGAGTTTTAATTGATCAAGGCTCACAGTGTCTACTTTGGTAAGTCTGTTGTCATTTCCCAGCCAGCCAGCCAGCCAGCCAGCCAGCCAGCCAGCCAGCCAGCCAGCCAGCCAGCCAGCCAGCCAGCCAGCCAGCCAGCCAGCCAGCCAGCCAGCCAGCCAGCCAGCCAGCCAGCCAGCCAGCCAGCCAGCCAGCCAGCCAGCCAGCCAGCCAGCCAGCCAGCCAGCCAGCCAGCCAGCCAGCCAGCCAGCCAGCCAGCCAGCCAGCCAGCCAGCCAGACAGCCAGCCAGCAACAGTTCCTTCTTGCTCCTTCTCATTATTCTCGACATCTCATCTCATCTTCAGTGTCAGTCAGTGTCAGCCAGCGTAGGCGGCAGTTGTTGATGAATGTCTGCAGTTTGTTGGAAATGCCTTTCGTGACGAGCCAAGTCTCTCAACCATCACACAGAAGCACTGAATCACTTGACTCAGATTGCTGTTCGAAATCCCAATGTTGTTCACGTTCTGTGCTGAGTGGTGAAGATCTGCACACTGGTTTCAGATTAATGAAGGGAGGCCTGTGTTACAGTGTTTCCGATGCTGGTTGGCTTTGACGTCCTCGTGTGTGCGTGTGCTGCCTGTAGTTGGAAGGATGCTGCCATGCGTAGATAGGTGGGCGAGGCTAGTTGCTTTAAGTTTCTGCCGTTGATGGTGATAGTGATTGGAGCTTGATGTTGTTGTTGTTGGCAGTGGTGGTGGTGTTGGTGATGGCGTTGGTGATGGTGATGGTGTTGGTGTTGGTGGTGTTGTTTGGGTATCTTCATCACCTCTGTCTTCTCTACGTTCACCTGAAGGAGGTCTCAAGGAAAACTGACTGCGTCAATAGAGTATTTCTTATATTGCGTTTAATGTTGAGCTTAGAAACGGCGGATTCGAAATGACACAAAACAATGAGAGTTATTGCCTAGTAAATGTTTAGGAGAGAAAAAAGAATCTTCAATCATACATAAGCAAAGACAATGGACTATTATTCATCATTAATTATTATTATTACGTGTCCTTTGGGTTTCTAATGAAACAAATCGCTTCAGTAGTACCTCTCTATTCCACGCTGTTCCCTGCAATCTATTGAACCCGGTTCCACAACTGCCCAAAAGCTCTCATTTATTCCTCAGACCATCTCCTCCATGTCTACTTCGCCTCGGAAGCTCAACTCGTCGTTTCACATCTGGGCTCCACTCGACAAGACGGCCTGATGCGTTATGTCACAGAATGGTCCTCTCACTGAACGCCTAATCCATCTCAAATTCCTTAAAATGCATATTTGTTGAGCGAAATCTTCTTGTTTAGTGAGCAGCCAGCCAGCCAGCCAGCCAGCCAGCCAGCCAGCCAGCCAGCCAGCCAGCCAGCCAGCCAGCCAGCCAGCCAGCCAGCCAGCCAGCCAGCCAGCCAGCCAGCCAGCCAGCCAGCCAGCCAGCCAGCCAGCCAGCCAGACAGCCAGCCAGCAACAGTTCCTTCTTGCTCCTTCTCATTATTCTCGACATCTCATCTCATCTTCAGTGTCAGTCAGTGTCAGCCAGCGTAGGCGGCAGTTGTTGATGAATGTCTGCAGTTTGTTGGAAATGCCTTTCGTGACGAGCCAAGTCTCTCAACCATCACACAGAAGCACTGAATCACTTGACTCAGATTGCTGTTCAAAATCCCAATGTTGTTCACGTTCTGTGCTGAGTGGTGAAGATCTGCACACTGGTTTCAGATTAATGAAGGGAGGCCTGTGTTACAGTGTTTCCGATGCTGGTTGGCTTTGACGTCCTCGTGTGTGCGTGTGCTGCCTGTAGTTGGAAGGATGCTGCCATGCGTAGATAGGTGGGCGAGGCTAGTTGCTTTAAGTTTCTGCCGTTGATGGTGATAGTGATTGGAGCTTGATGTTGTTGTTGTTGGTGGCGGTGGTGTTGGTGATGGCGTTGGTGATGGTGATGGTGTTGGTGTTGGTGGTGTTGTTTGGGTATCTTCATCACCTCTGTCTTCTCTACGTTCACCTGAAGGAGGTCTCATCTCCACTGCCCTAACTCTTCTGTCAACTTGTTGGATTTCGCCTGTAGATCTTGATGTTTGCGTGAGAAGACATTAGACACAAGTCATCGTTGGTGAAATTCGAATGGTGTAGGATGTATTCGCCGGTGCAGCCAGTGTGTGCCTCTCTTCTCGTTGCTCACTGTTTGGTGCATGATGCAGTCGACCAGAATGAGGAAGATGATTGGTGATAGTCGGCGTCAGCCTTGTGTCACTCCTGTCTTCACTTCACTTCAAAGGCATCACTGAGCTTTCCATTGTGAATGACTTGGCAAGGGGTGTCTTCATATGGTTGTAGAATGAATGAGGTTGATAAAGGTTTGTGTTATTCCATAGTGTTGGAGCAGTCTCCAAATTACTTGTGGGTTGACGCTGTTGCAGGGCTTTTGAGAGTG